AGCAAATTCGTGAGCAAGGCACACTGGATAATAAAGTAGAATCGAAAGATAGCATGACTGTGCCACAAATTCTTTCTACATTGCTCTTCAAATTATCTCCTAAAGTTACGCAAAGTGCTGTCGTCATACCAAAGTGGAAAGTGAACATTCACAGCAATATTCCAAAGCATAGCATCGTCTCTCGCACACGTCATGTATTGAACAGCATCATATCGGCCGAATCAAATGCTTCGAAATTGCGCAGACTAGAAGAGTTATTGTTGCATGTCGAGCAGTATCCAGAGGCGAGACATTATGCGATTAAAGAGGGAGCGATTAGAATTTTATTACAGACTCGTCAGAAGGCGAAAGATGAACAGATTAAAGGTATAGAAAAAAACGTAAATTTTAAATGATTATATATATGTCACCTTCTATTTTCTAGTATAGTTTCAATGACTGCGTTTAACAGAACAACAAATTTGTCTAAAACTATCAATGGTAACAGAAGATGACGTATCAATTATATCATTATTCAAAATTTACATTTTCCTTTTCTTATACTGATTGGATTATACTTTTAGAGGAATAGCGGAGAAAATTTTCAAAATTATGCAAAATAAACATTCTACTGAACGTAAACAATGTATTTCTTGCAGCATCTATTAGAGAAGCACTCGCTGTAATGGGTTACATCGATCCTCTGCCCGGTCGGGGTATTAGAATCCTATCGATTGATGGCGGCGGTATTCGTGGAGTATTGGTTATAGAGATGCTGAAGAAATTGGAAGAACTTACCGGAAAGAAGACGTATGAAATGTTCGATTACATATGCGGCGTGAGCACAGGAGCTATTCTTGCTGCCGTATTAGGTAATTGCTCAATATATGAGTCTAAAAATATTCATTGATTATTAATAATTATTATAAGATAATATTAGAAAGGATTATAATTTTTTGTTTGTAACATGTGTGCGTCTCTAAATTAATTTATATCATCTGCAGTATTGCCAAAGGATATTTTGGAAGGTAAACTTTTAAGTGGATTTACAGCATGTTCTGCACTTTATTCCATCAATAAAAGGAAGTTTCTGTTTACGCGAACTTATCGTTACTTCATTCATTATTGTAGGAGGACACAAGAGAAAGTCATTGGATGAAGTTTCAGCATTATATAAGGATTTAAGTACCAAGGTCTTTACACAGAGTGCTATAAAAGGCACGAGCAGTCTAGTATGGAGTCATGCATATTACGATACCGCGCTGTGGGAAAAATTATTAACGGAGCATTTAGGCGACAAAATTCTTATCAAAACCACGCGCGATCCAAATGCACCGAAGGTGTGTAGATTTTAATATACATCGTCGAAAACGAAACTCGGAATATAAAATGTATAATGCATGTCTCATAGGCAAGTGATTTAAATGTAGAAAGACCTTTAACGGCATTTGCATTTTTAGTTTGCAGCAATATCCGCCGTAGTAAATCACGAGCGCGTCATGGCTTACGTGTTTAGAAATTACACATTACCGCACAGAGTGGAAAGCCAGTATATGGGGTCCCACAAATATAAATTGTGGGAAGCCGTAAGAGCGTCAGCTGCTGCACCGAGTTACTTTGAGGAATTTAAATACGGCGACTGCCTTCATCAGGATGGCGGTAAGCTACGCGACATTATGGCGTGAATCATTTTCGTAACATTATCGAGAATGATTGTAACAATGCTTTAGGTATTTTGGTAAATAACCCGTGCGCCGTGGCGATACACGAAGCCAAACAGTTGTGGCCAAATAATCCAATCCAGTGTGTCGTATCATTCGGAACAGGTCGAATTCCACATCACGTCAGTGGAAATGAATCTTTGGAGGTAGCTATTTCGAGCTGGAGAGAGAAGTTTTATAAAATTTTGGATAGCGCCACCGATACAGAAGGTAATACTAATACAGGCATAATAAAGGTAGTATAACTAATTTTACTACAAAAATTTAGAAATAAATTAAAGAAAGATTATAATTGACAATAATTAAATTGATCTCAATTTTTTCAGCTGTGCATACGATGCTCAATGACTTGCTACCTGATCATATTTACTTCAGATTTAATCCTTATTTAACGGAAATGTTATCGATGGTTGAAATCCGACCCGACAAGATCAGCCAAATGGAACAAGACGCAAGAATGTATATACGTCGAAATGAGGAGAAATTTCAAAAGGCTGCTACGGCTTTATTAGAGAAACGACAGCTCCAGCAAAAAGTTATAGATTGGATCATATTACAAAGACAATTATCCGGTTTATAAAGAGCGACTCTTCAAATATCGATGTACATTCCATAGTGCGATCTGTGTTCGCAAATCACATAGACATCTACTATAGTATAACTTTTTTACATTTCACATGCAGTGGCTATCACTCTAAAATTTTTCAAATAATACTTTCTTAATAATGTTTTTTGGATGATACAATAGGAAATAATGCAACAGATATATATTTTTAAATGTCTCCTTATACTTCTTTGTTTATATAATATTACCTTATATATTAGCATATTTTTTAACTTTTTGTTTAAAATAATTAGCTATTGTAAAATAAAATGTCTACTCTAATAATGACATCTATAAATGAGAAATTTATTTTAGATTAATATGGGTACATCATTATTAGTAGAGAGTTTGACTGTGATATACTTTGTAGTGCAAAAATTTAGGATTAGTATAATTCTATACTTTGTTTGCCATATGTTTATATATATTAACCTGAGATAAAAGTGTAAGATTGTACATTATAAGAGTAATTTTCATATCTTCATATCAAAATATCATTAATTTATAAATGTGCTAAGTATTAAATATTTCATATATATTTTTCTTTACTGTAACGTGTGCTTGCATGCAAAATTTAAAATAAAAACATATTAAATATGTGAAAAATTAAATAAAAATAAAAATTTATTTGAATAAGAATTCGATTGTATTATTTTAAGTTTAATCTTATTTCAGAAATTTTAAGATAAGTTCTAATATACATATTATTTTATGAATACATTCTTTTAAATATAGAAAATGTGTAGTAATATTTTTTCTAAAATATCTTTATTCTTTTTATCCCTTGAAATTGAATAGAAATGATCGAGTAATGAAAATTAACCATAGCGGCACGATGCCAACACCAAATGTCCTTTGCAATGTTTTGTAGTTTGAACAAGACTATCTATACAATCACAAGTTTTTAAAATAATACCATTTAAAATAATGTAGAATATAAAGACAAGCGTAGCGTAGCGGCAGCGCACAAGATTGTTATACCAGAAATTCCAGACAGAACCGAAAAATTTTTCGAACGCTCGTAGCTCCTCTCGGCAGGTAATATGGCAAATCACCGAGAAGAGTATCTTTGCCAAGAGAACTTCTCTAACAAAAAATCATCGTTCGGAATCGACATTTTAAACATCAGGTGGGTCCATTGGACTGACTATACGATCAGCGTGTACACTATTAGAAATGTAACGAGTTTTTACATGTAAATATAGCTCATGGTTATGAACGAAATTAAAAGTAATGAATGATTTATTACAGTAGTAACACTACTGTAATACTCAGCGTTGACACTATTGTGTGTCAGTACTAGCAGTACTGACACACTCAGTGCAATAGCAATGACACTAGTAGTATTTTTATACTTCCAAATGATATTGGAAACTTGTATGATAGACCAACATTTAAATTTCATTAATTTAAAAATCAAGATTGTTTCGATATCGATTCGAGTTAGAATTAATTTAGCTAGACTTCGATGGTATTTTTCCTTGATTTCGTGCTCATTTATTCCCTGAAATTCTTCAATACAAAAGTGACGTAATAAGATTATATTAAATAAACTACAAAGTACAAATAAAAGTAATGTTATTCAACAGGAATAAAACAATAAAATAAGACACAAAGAATTATTAGAAGAAAAGATGCAGACTTTATCGATAGTTGTAAAAAATGTTCCGATTCATAAAAAAAAATTCTACAATTTTCAAAAAGTTATAAAATTATTTATAAATTCTGAAAAAGTTTGAGAAAGCTTTTATGATTAGAGCGATATTGCAATTGTCGAAATGAAATTGAAAAAAATGTCGATTCGATCTTTGAACGAAAATATTCAAAATATAAGATGATGTATCACAAATTTATACCAAAAATATTAAAAATGTATCAAACTCTCATTGTACTCTCTACGTAATTTTTTTTGTTACTCGCAAATGTTGAAATTTCGAATCGACAACTTTTTCATCGTAACAACATCGAAACGTCTTTTCGAGAAACTATTTCTGATTGGATAACTGAAAATTAATTCAGTTACAGTAATAAATTACAGTATTACTTAAATGTAACGAACGTGCATATATTAAATTTATGAAATTTAATGTACTTTTAATAAAATTTTATGAAAAGTATATTAAATTTCATAAATTTTCATGAAAAATACATTAAATTTTATGTATATGTACACAAATATACTTTTTAGTTATAAATACATTAAATTTATAATGTAATGTCATGAAATTATAAGTTCAAATTGTGTAACTTAAAATTTAATGAAATTTAAGAACATTTCTAACAGTGCACGCCTTGGCGTGAGAATAAAATAGGATTGTTGTGGCAAACGAACAAAATAGGACTGAGATGATGATGATGAGATAATAAAAAATAAAATACAAAATAATTATAAAAAATAATAGTGCAGCCCCAAAAATAGAAGAAATAAGGAATTAGGAATAAAGATTATATTTCAACCTATCAAATTTTGAATACACCAGAATACACGGTTTCTGATAGGTTGGAATCGATATTCCTGTTGTTACCACACCATTATGTTTTACAATTATTTTGTATTTTATCTTTTATATTCTATATTATTCCAAATGGTATTATTTTAAAAACTTTAAGTGTATATACAGTCTTGTACAAACTACAAAACATTGCAAAAAGCATTTGGCGCTGGCATCGTTATATGGTTCATTTTCATTACGCGACTATTTCAATTCGATATTGAACACGTTTCTTCCCGCTTCCGTTTCCGAAAGCTGTGTATGGTTTTTTGTAGAATTTGTAATTTTCACTTTATAAATCCGTTTAATTTACTAAAGTCGAGAAATACATTTAAAGAATTGCACTTTTTTTAACCTATTATTATATAAAATTACACTTTCTTATGGATATTATGCACAAAAGTCTTGAGAGATAATAGTTTTCTTCACGAGTCACTTAACCTCAATAAATAGTATGCATGTCTTGAAATAATCAAATATTGTTACAGGTAGAAATAAATAAATCCAAAAGATGGCCAAGTCTAAGAATCACACAAATCATAATCAGAGTAAGTATATTTTATAAATAATTTATAAAAATTTATAATATGTCAGAAAATCTAGTAAATTGGATTTTTATATTTATTTTAAAATTTATGTAATTTTAATATTTTTTAGATGGTATTACATGTATAAATATATAATATATTATATATATGTAGTAAATATATTTAATCTAAAATCTCTTATAAATCAAATATGTAAATTATTGTTGCTGAACTATTAATTTTTGTATTTTTTTCAGACAGAAAGGCGCATCGAAATGGTATTAAAAAGCCTAAGAGATATAGGCATGAAAGCACACTTGGCGTAAGTTTTATCAATATAATCTATTGTACATTATATTCATTTCAATATTTTATTTTCTGTCTTTAAGAAGAAGAAATCTTTAAGAAGTAAAAGAAAAAATATGTAAAATATTGTATGCGACGAAATATTCAGTAGACAATACACTCAACATGTATCTTCGATATTTAAAATATTTAAAGATTTTTATGACGTCCATTCATACTTTATTGATTCTACAAGTATCTTTTATATGTATATATATTTTTATATGCATGTATTTTTATATGCTTTATAGATGGACCTGAAATTCTTGAGAAATCAACGCTTTGCAAAGAAACATAACCTGAAACCGAAAGCTCAGTTAAAGAAGGCAGAACAACGAAAAGCTCTTCGTGAAGTTAAAAATAAGAAATAAATTCAGTGTAAACTAATGACTCTATTAAAATAAATAAAAAAAAACACATTTGAGATTAGTTTTTCACCCATCTCTAGTTTTACAATATTGGTGTACCTCAATAAATAAAATGTGAATTTTTTGTAAAGGAACAAGTGGATAAGCGTGATAGGAATAAAAACTCCAAAACTTGTTATCGTATATTCAGTGTTTCTTTTTTATGAATTATGGCGCTTGCACAACTTATATCTGCTTGTACCTATAGTGTATCGTGATTATACCGTTATATGTCAATATGGCCATAGAGCAGGCGCTGGAAGTGTGCGCCGTCATGAAAATCAATAATTCATAAAATGAATAATTCGACGAAACCAGAGAGAATTTTATTGTTTAGCGGCAAAAGGAAATCTGGAAAGGATTACATTACTGATATCTTGTACAACAGGTACTACATCGATATTTTAAAATTATTTGTCGATAATACAGAATGGCATTACTCAGCAGAAAACTGAACATTAACATATGAAAAATGTCAAATAAAATGAAGCTGTATAGAGACATTTCTATTTAATAATTGAAGAATTAATTATTATTAATCTGATATAGTTAATATTTTTCTTAAATAATAATATAATTTATTAATATAATTTTTTTCTTGACATAATATTTGTTTACATGATTTTTAGAATAGGTGCACAAAGGAGTACAATTATACGCTTATCAGGACCTATAAAAACACACTGGTCAAAATCTTTGGGTCTCGACGTCAATCAATTGCTGGGAAGTGGAGAATACAAGGAGAAGTATCGATTGGAAATGGCCAAATGGAGTGAGGATATAAGAAGGAAGGACTATGGATACTTCTGTCGCGCTGCTATTGACATGTATAATGGTACAACAAAATTGAAGAATCTTTTATTAAAGATTACAGTTGATGTTCATATTTGGTTTTTTATATTTAATATCGTTTTAAGTGATATTAAATATATTTAACATCTTTTTATGATCTTAAGTACAGTTTTAAGACATAAGTCAATCACAGAATTGTTTAGTATCTTAAGACATTACTTAAGAAGTCTTGAAATAAGAACCGATTATGGCTGTATTTGATTTGTTTAAGCACTTATATAATCATCATTCTGTCTTTATAGTTCATTAGATGTAGAATAGAAATGTTGAAAGCGTCCAAACTGAACGCAGCCTATGAATACTGGTCTATGCCTGTATATGTCAATTGTAATGAAAGGAATTAACAGATTTCAACTTATTAGAAATCAGGTACACTGGAATTCTGATAGGTTGAAATCTGTATGTATATATAAAATATATATAAAATATATATATAAAATATATGTATACATATATAAGATAAAGAAAAAAAAAATATATATATTCCTCTTGTTTCTTATTTCTTTCATTGTGACTAAGCCATAAAAGTGTGTTAATTTCTAGAGATATTAATTTCTATAGTATATATAAATATACATATATATTTTTCAGCATGGGACAAGCCAGTGTGGATAATAAGCGACATCAGAAGAAAAACTGACATTAAATGGTTTACAGAAAACTTCGAGGATGCATGTAAGACTGTACGTATAGTTTGTTCCCAAGAAGTTAGGCAGAAACGTGGCTGGGTTTATACACCAGGTAATAATATTATAACATAATTATAATTTTAAGGAATTGTAAAAACTCGATCTTCAGAGTAATTTAATCATTTTAGGCATAGACGATTCAGAGACAGAGTGCGACTTGGATAACATAAGTAATTGGGACATTGTGCTAGAGAATAACGATGGTAACGATATAGAAGTTATACTGCAGCAGTTGTTAGGTCTCATTAGTTAGCAAAAAATTTTTTTTCTATCCTGTCAAATGTGCGATAAACAACGTTTCGCAATTTTTAAGCAAGAATATTCTAATAATATGTATATGGAAAGTTTCACTTGATAGCAAATTTTGTTTTAATTATTTCTTATTTGCACGGTTCGTTCTATGCACGTACACGTTTTTTTAGAAGTTAGAGATATTTTAAAATTATAAAAATTAAGACAATTATAAAAATTATGGAATTATAAAAATAAAAATTATAAAAAAGAAATGAAGATCTAATTCAATAAAATATACAAAAATGTGCGCTGTCTTATAAAAAAGTAATTCGAGAAAGGACACAGTGGTATCTTTATTTTTGTTTAATCTGTATTGTGTGTGTATGTAGTAGAAATCATCATCTCACGAAAAATGTATACTAAAAATAGATAAAAACAAATCGATAGGAGTATTGTTTTTAGAAGATGAATCCTTTTTTGTGTCTATTCTACAATGCGTGGGCGTCATTGTATGATGTAGTTATAAGAATTGACCAGTCACAGTTTAATATGAGGAGAATATTCAATAGTGATTGGCCAATTCTTACAACCACGCATGCGCACTTTATGTGATCGATTTGCGACATAAAAATCAGCTGATATGTACGATAAGTAAGGTTAACTTCCTAGAATGTAATTTTTGAAGTTATATAAGTTATAAATATTATGTAAACGATATTTATCGATTTTGCAGGATAATTTTGAATAAAGCGCGTACATTGTGTTAATCAAGACGGAATACATCCACGAACATATCATAACTTTTGAGGTTAAGTCAATGTAAGCAATTACTATTTGTTTTATGTATTATTATTTGTCACGATCACATTTGTACAAATTACATCTTTACTAATTTTTTTAATTTTATTAATTTTATTAATTTTATTAATTATTAACTTTATTAATTTTTCACGCTAAATTTTTGGGATCAATTTTTATATAGTGTACTTTTTGCTGCCATCCACACGATTGTCAGTAATAACAAGAGCCTCGAAGATCTCGATGGAAATCGGTTGCCACTCTAAAGAATCATCGAACCATCGAATAGAATAATGGAACATAAAATTCCATCTGGTATCCTCGATGATCTCAGCAGGTCGGTTTCTATCTATCTATCTAATTATACTAAATATTAGGTGTGGGAAAAAGTTCGTGGCGTTTTTTTAATGCCATCTAATGGGAAAAACGCCACGAATTTTTTCCCATACCTAATATAATAGGAATAATAATACATTTAACAAAAAACAATAACATAGTTAAATCTCATGCATTTGCATCATTTTAGCATAATCATTTTTGTTATTTTTATACAATATTTTGTACTTTATATTATTCTGCAGTCGATTCATCATCAATGTACCCGAGGAGGAGAGGAAAGATTTGGTACGAATTTGCTTTCAAGTCGAATTGGCACATTGGTTTTATCTTGACTTCTACTGCACAGAGGAATATCCTAAATTAAGATCATGTGGCATGAAAGAATTTGCCACTCATATATTTCAACACATACCATTTTTGAAACCACACGTGCAGCACATTGATGCTGTGCTCGAGCAATGGAGAGAGTACAAACAGAATGTGCCGACGTTTGGGGCGATTGTGTTAAATGAAGATATGACTAAGGTGCTTCTGGTGCAGAGCTACTGGGCAAAGAATAGTTGGGGCTTTCCTAAAGGAAAAGTAAATGAAGATGAGGAGCCGTTTCATTGTGCTATTCGAGAAGTGTTGGAAGAAACTGGTTTTGATATATCTAATTTGATAGATAAAAACGAGTACATTGAATCTACAATAAATGATCAAACTGTGAGATTGTACATTATTTCGGGTGTGCAAAAGGATACAAAGTTTCAACCAAAAACGCGGAAAGAAATAAAGAATGTTGAATGGTTCGCCGTAGCGGATTTGCCCAACACGAAAAAAGATATGACCCCTAAAATGAAAATGGGTGTTAGTCCAAAAGCATTTTTTATGGTGGTACCATTTGTCAAGTAATTATTTACTATTTTCTATAAAATCCATATATTTAATGAAAAATTGTGTTACATGTGTGTCACTCTTTTGTCCAGGCGGATAAAACGGTGGATTCAAGAGAAACAGCAACGTGAGAGAACCGCCATTGCAACTGTACGAAGACAAAGGCATAAATCGTTGGGAGATGTTGAAACAGTTTCAAAGAGCAAACGACAACAGCACTTTTCTACCACAGCGTCGCTTTTCCATCACTTTTCTACTTGTCCACCACAAGTAAATATCTTATGTGTAATTCTTTTTATATTATAATCTAAACTTTCATACACATTGTCATGTGCTCTATTTATAGAGCGTAGTTCCTGATTTTAAAGTTGGCCGTCAATCAAACACTTCTCCGGCTCGCAATCGCCGTGGTGTAAATGACAATAAGAAAGACGCGTCGAAGACAGCATTTAAACGAAATCTATTTGGAGATCAAGAGGAGGCTCAATCACCTCTTGTTAAGCAACTAATAGACAGCCCTGCTCAATCGTGCTCATTTCTAATTGATCCTGCGATTCAGTCGATCAAATATAATGATTTTAGTTACAAAGCGCAATCATTGGAAAAAGAAGTAAAAGGTACACTACGTTTGTTTATAATCTAAATCTTACTTCTACTTAATATGAGATCTCGCTTAAAACATATCACAATAATATATTTAACGAGATATCTAAATTATGTAAAGGGTGTTATATCTTTTAATATAAATGTTAATAATATAATCCAATATTATTATGATATTATTTCGAAATTGATTTCTCTCTTTTAGATTTTCGTAAAAAAAGTTTGCCAGAAGGAAATATCAAGTCGATGCTATTCGGAGAAGCTGTGCGCAAATTACAAAAAGATTTTCAAACTATTCCACCGATTCCTTTCGTAAGTCTGGGACATGATAGTTCGCTGCTTTTAACGAAGAATTACAAACAAAATTATCCTATCTTTGATTTTCGCGTAAAGACTTGGGATAATTTCTCTTTTGATATCCAGGCGATATTAAAAGTTCTAAAGTAGTCATGTACATAATAATTTGGAAGAATGGATTACCAACGTAGGAGAAGTGCAGATATCGAATTAGATTCGATAGCTATTAACTTCATCTGTATTACTTTTCCTATCTTTTATCTTTGCTGGTCAATAATAATGCGTGTATTATATTACATGTACGATAATGTATCTTTATGCATTATTGTACATATTAATATTTATAAAATTGATAATAATTGATAAATTGATAATAAATTTAAAGCTTCAATTCATTCATCACTACTACCTCAGATTACAACATCAGAAGCAAGACTTACAGAAAGCAAAAAAATTATTTAAATAGAAATATTTTTCAATAAAACATTAATCGATAGAATAGACTTAAAATACAAAAACTTTTGTTTCAAAGAGAAATTAAATCATTTATTTCTATACTTCATCATTTATTAATTTAATAGTTTGTCATAATTGTAAACATAATTTATTTCGTTTTTTACATAATTCATTTTTACATATAAAATTATTTATTAAGAGTGCGTTTTAACATTCACAACTCTCGCGAGCATCGTTTCATCCTTGTTATCAATTATTAAACAAGGATGAAATAATGCACGCAAGGGCAAATGTTAAATGGAACGCATACTAATTAACGAAACAAAAGGGAAGTTTTCAGATATTTTGCAAGAATTTTTATTCTGAAATAGTAGTGATAAGTGAACAGGAATCTTAAGTTTAAATTAGTTTTAGTTTAATAGTCTCGAAGTACTATATCTTTATTGTGTTGTTTATATGTCTAATATACATATCTATTCTTAACGTGATGATAACGATAAATTCAAAGAAGATTCAATACTTTGAATTTATTACGAAAACTGATTATAGAGAAAGATCTGGTAGAAAGAGAAATATTAAGTCACTTTTTCGTGAAAACTGTAAGCAAATTGCAAATAAGATTTAAAAAGCATTCTTTGCAGATTTAAAACATAATAGATAAAATTTGTCAATTTTACCAAATCTTGGTAATTCAATATTTTCGACATTATAAACTGTATGAAACAGAATATTCTTAAATTATGTTGTACAAATAATAGTAATAATTCATTTATATATAACTATAGAAAGGCGAGAGATACAGCGCGTAATGTGGTATTATACATTTCGATTTTGATATTAGCACTTTTCGGCCGAACAAAAATTTATCTTTTTTTTTTAAGTAAATTGACGTTAAATTAGCGTTAATTGAATTAACGTATAATATTTTTATTAACGTATAATGTATTTGTAAAGGATATTGAGGACGATTATCAGGACGAAAAGAACCAATAAAACTGGGCCAATAAAATAGAATATTTTTTCAAAAACATGACTGCCCGTCTGCACACTTTTGATAATTTCATTATTCAATTCAAAGACTATTTTACTTTCTTCGATAAGTTTATTTTTCGTGTCCTCATCCAATGTCTCCGCGATTCTGTTCATCGATTCACGTAATTCACGCTTTAACTGAAATATACTGTTCTGCCCAAAGTCTGTGACGTTATTACCATCGTTCGATGGTTGCGCTTTGAAAGGCGAAATCTTCTGTACGATTTGCCTTTTTTTACGTAGAATGATACCGCCGCTGAGGAGACCCATGTAAAGATGATAAATATATGCCATTAATAAAGTGGGATCCGTGTCTTCCACTTCTCTCAAACGCATCAGATATTTGGTGACGCTATCCCTAAAATTTGTAAAACAGACTTGTAGGATTAAGATTTCTTTTCTGTAATAATTACTATTATCAATTATATTAATTATACTATTATAAAAGACTGATATCTTTATTATTCATTGTAAGCGTAGGAAAATAAAACGATTTTATTTTCACAACATTATCATATATGATTACTGTATGCAGCTTTTGTACCTGGGACTGTAGTTTTTCCTCCATCCTTTTCCCAAATAATGATCAAGATCGCGCTCGAAAGCCTCTGTACGTTGAAGTTCACTGAGTGGAAGCAATCCAATTTTGGTGTTTCTTAATCTAATCATGGCACCCTCCAGGTAGCGAAAGACCTCGTAGAAAACCAAAAGTCCATCAGCCCATACGGAATCGTCGAGGAATCCTAGTTTTAGAGTATTGTAATTATTGGAACCAGATTTTTTGTTACATGGAATAGGTTAATAAAATTGTATGTAGCATTTAGATACAAAGCATTCAACATCGAGTATTTATTCTTCAGATATTAATATACTTGTCAAGTATAATACTAGAAGACTTAAGATCAATATTTAGTCGATTCTTACATTTAAGACTGTCTTAAAATATAATAAACATATTAGCATCTTAAGATATTATTTAAGATGACAATCTTAAAATAAGGACTATTAATACTGACCTTAAAAAATTGACAAACAGTGACCATTAAAAGCACAAACAATGAGTGCTATATATAGAACAAAGAATAACGCAATGTTTATCATGCTTTTGTTATCTTGCTGACACATCTTTGCTGCAGTATATAACCAAATTGCAGTTTGTACTGAGAAATTTAAATAAAACGGCCGATATTTACGATATTTCGAGAAAGCCTCATGGTATCTCGCGATCCTTACCGAATGCCAGTTTCGCGTTCACCAGGGCATCGCTGATTGCGTGTATTCCCCTGGTGGCTTTTGACATTTTCTTGCAAAAATTCTCCTCCTCCGGCATTTCGGCGGGGTGATAAGGGAACGTCAGGAAATGCGTTTATCGTGCGTCGTAAGATGTGCGTACTTAATGTCGCCTCAGGTCTCACACCATTACACGACCGGATTCCCGCGCACTTCTGCGGGCTGTCACGTGAAAATCGACGTCGTGAAAACACTGCGCCCGCAACATCGACGATCATCCCCAGCCGCCCCTGCGCACTGATGCAGTCACGTGTCCGCACTCCATCGCAAAGTCGTCGCCACGAGATGTCGATTTTGTCCATGGCGCGAAACAGTCGTCCCATTCGAGTCATGCAAAAGCCGAACCAAGTAACGATATCGATTATCGTCAATTTCAGTACTAAGACAACACGGTTAGGTTTCAATTTCCTTAAATTTTCGTATACTTTTTATTTTACGAAGTTGATTTGGTTTTTAAAACGTTTCGTTTAAGACAGGAGAAAAATTATTCGCGACAGTTCTATTCAGACAGTTCTAAGTAAAAATGTTTTTAAGTTCGGACGAATTAAGCTCTAATGATTTGTTAATTTAGTTATAATCCAATCAAAGATGCATTGAAGAAAATTTGAATAAAAATATCTATTATTTATTATAAAACAGAAAATAGACAGTCTTCCTTGTAGGCCGAAAATGGGGTCTAATTGATCGGATAGTTCAATATTGAAAGAAAAAATTTCAAAATACATTTTTTCGAATTTAGCTGCAAAAACATCAAAGTTCCTCTTCACAAAGTATATCTATAACATTTATATGAAGTGACGCAGTAGTGGCGCGAAAAGTGTCAAATATATCTTTTTTTAATCTTCGTAAGATCTTTTTTATAAGATTAGTTATTTACAAAATATTTTCAAGATAAATTATTCTTGCATTTAAAACTTTGAATCTTGTGAAGATTTTTTAAAAATAGAAATATTTTTATCATTTATATTATTTTATAGCTATAACATTATTAAAATTACGCCATTTTTTTAATAAAAAACACGTCAATATTTGAACGAAAAGTTCAAAAGTCAAAAAAGATAAAAATAACCGAAAAATCAGTATTTAATATTAAATATCGTGAAATTTCAATTTTGCAATTTCGCAATTTTGTAAATATTTACTCGATACGAATTAGTTTGCAAATTTTTTAAATTATGACATATTTTACGAGCATTTTATTATTTGAATAAAATTGGGGGAAAAAAGAAAAAAAAAGACTTATATTTTTTACTTCACAAAAAATACACAATTAAATTACATGAAATATTTAATGGTGGGAAAGCAACAATCTTAGAAAATCGATTCACATCGAATTAATAAACCAATTACATAATAAAAATTAAATAACTGATATAAAAGAAGAACAATCTATCTTTCAAACTCTTACTCTTTTACTCTTTAGATCAGCCATCAATTTTGTTTTTCGCTTTATTCTCCTTCCTTAATTTTTATACATTTTATCTCGCGGTGAACTGACTCCTAAAGTCATCAATCACCGATTAATCATGCTGATTGATCGCGCACGAGAGTGCGATAAGACTCATCTCTCCTTTGCTTAAATCTCCTTGCAATCTTTTTTCTCCTTTCTCTTCTTCCTCGCTGCGGATGACTGCGACCGATTTTATTTTACCTGCAGAAGTTGCGATCTGAAAGCAAGTTGCGGCAAATCGTTCCATCGTGGACAATAACGCGGCAAATAAGGCAGCCACCGAAATACATCGTCCATGGTATTCGCAGCGGCGCGTTTCAATATGGTTTCATATTCGGGACGCCGAGCGTGCGCGCGTGCATTCCGCGGTGTCGTACTCACCTCGTCGTCGCGCGGCAAGGAATCCGCGCGGACCGCAAGATGTCGAGCTGCCGCGCAACGTAGTAGGGAAGCATGATTCGTTCGTTGGTCGGTATCCCCTCGGCGATGCCTCGACGCGCGTTCGCCCGCAATGACATGGTGGTGGGGGGATCATGTCGATAATGGGTGCACTCCATGGGAGCGACGCGATGCGACGCTGGGCGGACACCCGCCCGCCGTCGGGCGTCGGGCACACGCATGCTCGTACGTACGTACGCACGTAAGTACGCACGTGTGCACACTCACGCATATCCCGCGGACGGCGTAGTGGAGCAACGGAAGAGTCCGTTGACCTTCGCCGAGAACGTGCCCATGTCCCCAGGCCGGGTCACACTCGAAACTTGCATTCGCAGGGGAACATGTTCGAGCGGGATCAGACCGGGCACGTGGCGACCGCGTTCGATGAGCACTCCTCCGTGGAAAGGAAGTGGGCCGTGCATACTCCTTCTCTTTTCACTGCTTCCGCAGTGATGGATCGACATGTTTCGTATCCCTTATCAGAGCTGTCACCAATTTCTCATTCTAAAATTCCATAACTTTTCCTTGATTTTTGGATAAAATTTCATGATTTTTTTCTCATGCTTTCAATAATACTTCGAATTTTTTTTATATTTTCACCCTGATTTGAAAATCGTCAAATATTTTGAAAGAACAATTTAATTACTACGTTTAAAATCAAGAATTTTTATTTTCTAGAAAATTTTTGCAAAATCCTTTATTTTTTCCTGATTTCTCTGATTTCCAATTTTGTGACAAACTTGCTTATAAAGACATCTATTGTTTAGATACTTAAAAATAAGTTCGATAAATCTTAGAAATTAATTTCGTTAAATTATTAATTAATTAATTCTAACAAATTTTCGACACAGATAATAGAGATAATCACTAAATTTTTGAGATTCGTATTTTGAATGGGAACTGAATCTACTTGCGAAAAATTATCGCTTTCTGTTGTCTATTTTTATACAGTCACATTTAGAAAGAATTAAGATTCTCCGCTTCATTCGTTCGCAACATACGTATATTAGTCTCTTCTTTAGAATTTATAAAGCAATATTTTTTTCCTATCTAAATATTATTCATATAAATACGTAAAAATTTGTTTCTTGTTCATTGGCTCCGTTTTTTTATATTAATAATAATTATTAACACGGGCTAGGCTTTATTAATACTATTTTATAAATATTAATAAAATGACACGCGCATGAATATATTAGTATATATAAATATATAACATATATACAAGTAAATAATGATGAAAAAATGAAAGCTATTTGAGCTAAAATATTTTTCATTTTAATATAATTAAACCCTAAGTAAATTAAATTTAATATCAAAATTTAAAAGCGAACTTTTTAAAATGTTTCGTGATTTCCAAGTGAAATTGTAATAAACTTTAAATAAAATTAAGATGATCATTGATACGGTAATTATATCAAGGTTCTCATTGAGTTGGCGTAATCCATTACTGCATGATTCTTCGTTTCCTAACGGCGATTCACCCTCTCTCTTTCTCCGGTTCTGCTCCTGCTATCCTGTTTCCAAGTATTTGTCAAAGGCGGTACAACGCCGCGGGTAACTCCACCCAGACCGGTACGCGGTTTCGCGGCGGCCGCTTCCTCCATAAGTAACGAGGTGCGCGCGAAATCCATTGCGGCTCGGCCGCAATTCTTTGGTACCGCCGATCTTTCTGGACACTCCTACGTTACGCCCTTTCGAGATCGCGAACTATCGCTAGCTCCACGAGCATTAAGATGCATTATTCACTAACTTGAGTCTAACCTTGATAAAATTCAGACAGTGAAATTCAAATTACGGTCTATAATCAATAGGAAGTGCATATAATGTCGTTCTGATGAAGTTGGAAATCATCTTTTCTTGGTAAGATCGTCGAGAGAGATCATGTCATTTTCACAAAGTCTTCAACGAGCTATGAATAATTAAGTCCGAAATTAAGATTCTGCTAACATCTCCCTCATCTTAATGCTAAATTTCCTGTAACAGTCTTTATTATTATCTTGCCCCTAATTTATTATCACAATTACTTTTCTTGCGAAGCGTTTCGTGCGCCCGTCGGACTTGTCGGTCTTACCGAGTTCTTGTTGCGTTCATGACGCGCGATAAATTATATTACACAGCGGGAAAGAGAGATACTCCTTCTCTCGGAGGTGGGAGTCCCTCATCGGCTTCGTCGGCAATGGCCTGGGCAAGAGGCATCGTGTTTTATGCTATCCTACTACCTGGTAGCTCTGAAGTTGGGCCGACTGCTAAATCTTTCAACGGCCGCATAGTCGATGGAGCTCCGCCGACGGCATGCCGGCCTGATCGCCGACGAAATGTATTGTCACTTGATTGTCAATCGGCTTTTTACCGAGTCCGTTATTAACACCGCGTTGCTCTTATTATGGTCGTTGTATGTCGTAGAGAGAGACTTGGATTTAGACTTGAGTCCAGGAAATAACCGTCAATTCGCGCTATGGGGTGAGATCTACCGTAGACCGGCGTTCACCTTCGCGGATTTTACACGCAAGAAATCGTCATGAAAATCACAATAGCGATCATTTGTCTGAAAAATATTAGTTGTAATAATATTTATATATACATATCGGTTTTTTCGCGATCCAGGTGCTGCGTTGGAGACGTTAAGCGTGCGGGCATTTATTTATTGAACTCAACATAGCATGTTAGTCAAATATGAATTTAAATTAGCGCTTTAGTCGTATGTCTAATAGCTTTGTCTATTTTTTTTTAGTTTGTTAAGTCATGATGACTTGTGATGATCGGAAGGGATGTAAATTTGGACAATATTTTATTTATAATTATAAAAATTCTCTTCCTTTTTTAACCAGGAGGTCGCAACCGCGAAATTATTTGGATCGATGTCACGCGACTTTAGTGAGTTTCTGTTCTCCTGCTTCGATATATAAAATTTTTCAGGGAAAAGCTTGTAATTTTGGTAGATTTAACGAAATGTTCAAACAGACGTAATGTAAAAAACAGCGAATCGTATGATAGAATTTTAGTTGTTTATAAAATTACTATAATAAATATGTTTAGTAGACATATATTGTAACGCAACGTCTCTATGTGTGTGTGTTTGTAACAAACTAGAAATGAGAAATCTATTTTATAACTATAA